GGCGGTGTCCGGCGCGGGCTGGGGCTGGGCCGGGGAGCCGCGGGCTTCGAGCCGCAAATAAGGGGGGAAAAGGGCCCCACTGCCCGCGTGAGGCCGCCCCTGGTGGGGGCGGCGCTGCCCTCCGTGCGCTCGCGATGTCCGCGGTTACATCGGCCCTGGGTGCCCTAGGGAGGAGAGCGAGTTTTCTCACTTTGGGGAGGCAGCAACAAGCACGAAAAAGTGATGGGCCCGGGATCCCTCGGCTGAGGAGCAGCGCAGCTGGCAGCCGGGCGTGGAAAACTCCGTGCGAGCCCAGGTGGCTGGTGGCTGTCGGCATCTTCCAGCTCGCACTCCGACCGCTTCTACCTGTAAGGCTGCAGGTGCCACGCAGCAAACCCGGAACCTAGCAGCAATAGGTCTTTTCTTTCCTCTTTTAAATTCCATTGATCATAGGTGGAGGAGAAAAAAAAAAAAAAACTGCATAGGCTTCTGCTTTTCCAACTGTTCGAATGTTTCTGTGAACTGCTCAAATGCTGGGCATGCAGGTTGAAAATACCCTTTCACAGGTGCCTTGAGTGAGACCTAAGTGGTACTTTTATATAAATTAAACTGTTATGGTTATTATAGTGAGTTGTTCATGTTTATAATTAATGCAAAATGTGCTCATCCTGTTCTATCCAATATGTTAGCTGGTCTTTTGACGTGGTATTTTTTTTCAGTGTAAATGTTCTCATTGTTCTCCCAGGCAGAAAATACTGATACTTTGGCAGCCTGTTTTCTTATCTTCAATTTAAATTATTCCTACCAGAATTAGCATCAGAATATTGGTATATCTCTGGGCTGATTGAATAAGGAGGGCGTGAAGAAGTTGCATTTCCCTCTCACATGAGCTGTAGAAATTGCAACAGTGGTGCTATGGGGCAGTAGTGGAAGAAACAAACTATCTGGTAGCTGCTTTTTAGCAAGTAGCTTGCAACATGCTATAGAAATGTGTTTTTCTCTAACAATGCCTGGGAAAGCAGCAGTGAGTATCTCCAGAGTAAAGTCATCGAAAGTCAGTCTTGAAAGAAGGTACCTCAGAAGTTTTACCAATTCATTCCGGATCAGAGACCCAAGAGGCAGCAGAACTGCTTATAATGTCTTGAGAAATTACCACCTCCTTAAGAACAGAGGAAATGAGGCAAGGGACTGTCAGAGATGGACATCAAATTTTCTCATCACTCACCATGGGATTGCTTGGTTGGGGGAGAAGTTGTTTTCTCCCCTTGCACAATGGGCTTCACGGAGCTACAGCGGCCATGCCCAGCGATGTTCTGACATGTTTGTTCTCACGGTTCAGGGAGCCCTCCTGTGACACCGTGTACTGCTCGTGCTTTTGCCTGCGTGAGCAAAAAGTGCCTGAAGTTGAAATGCTGAAAGATGGTTAATTGTTGGGGCTGCTGCTAAGATTGACATAAACAAAGGTTGTTCTTTATATTTACTGGATATGGTTAGCTTGAAGGGCTAACCTCTTAACACCAATGTAGTATTAAGAAGCAGGCATTCACTTTATTGCAGCGCTGGGTGTGCAGGGCATAGCTCCACCTATTGTGCATGCCCTAAGGTGTCTTTGCTAAAACTTTTATTTCTCTGTTATCTACATATGCTTTAAACTCTAGGAATGATCATACATATTCATTCTATTTCCCAGAACTAGTTACAATCAATCCCAGCTTCATGTGTGTGTGCCCTCTGCCCCTTTGGTGGTCTCTGGTGGCCTTTAGAGACCCCCTGGTGATCGTCTTTCTGTGTCCACTCAATGATGTCCCGGAACTTACTTCCATATTTGGCCTCATTCTGGTTCAGAAGGCCCTGTTTTGGTCCTACTGCCCAGTTTCAGACAATTCCATGAAGATACAGTGGTCCTTTTCTTTGTCTTCAACTGATGTTTGCTGTTTTGTTGACGTTTTCTCATGATATACCAGCAACATCCACTGTTTTGTCCATCAGCAACAGTGAAAGAATGTCCTTGAGCGCATTCTTTCTTGGGTTTTCTCACAACACCATAAGGTTGGCCGGAGGGCCCATGCCTCACGTAGCAGCTGCTAAAGGTCTCCTGCAGGCGAGGAAGCCACGGAGAGAATTCAGGGGCTATACGCCCCCTTCACCCTCGTAGGTAATTGATACTGACCTGCTGGTCAGTAACGGTTTAACTGTTCATCTGGCTGTATTGACATCAGCTGTGATAGTTAATGCACCTGCTCAATTCCTTGAATTGGCGTTTGTGGGGAAGAAAGTCACTTGTCAGTGGTATCTAGACCAAAATGAAATGTTGTTGAAATGAAAAACTGTAGTACAAAAAGGTACTGAAAATCTAATTGTTTTTTGAAGCCCTTTTTTCATTTAAATTCCGACAGTGTTCAGTTATCCCTATTGTAGCTTTCTCCTCTTTTTTTTTTTTTTTTTTGGTCTGTGGTTTCTTCTTGGAAAAACGGTTGCACATGTTTCCTGCCAAAAAAACCAAGTGCAAAACTTTTTCCAGATATTTTGAATAGCAAACTTTCATGAAGGAAAGAGTAGCACTGACTTGTATAGATCAAACGAAGATGCTCCTTAAGTTTATGAATGTATGTTAATATTTATTCCAGACACCGGAACTTTGATTTGCACAGACTTCAAAACTGCTGCAGGCAGTCCTTGCTGATCAAGACAGTGATAAGGTACCAAGAAGGAACAACGAAGGTCAATGTGCTGTCTAATGCACTTCAGCAATGTGCCTTTGCCTGGCAACTCGTGGTTTTATATCTTTCTGTCTGTAGAAGACTTAGCTAATTTTTAAGGGCAATGTGTGGAAAATAAGTAGATTTTCTGTGACTGTGGCATGTTATCACTAATCTTTAGTTTCGACCGTCTGCTCTCTACTGAACTGAAGATGATAAGGTTGAAGAGCAGAGAACTGAGTTAATGGAGATTTTTGCTTCTGTGCTTAAGCAGTTAAAGCAAGTTGTTGCTTTTTGAGGCTGCCACTGGGTGGCTTTTTGAAATGTTGGTGCTGTGCATAGCATTAGCAAAGCTTGAACGGAGTTGGTATTACCAAGAATTTTAAGAATAAATAGTATTTCAGGGAAACTTCTGTTGCAGTGTTTTTCTTGCAGGACTGATAGGTGGTTTAGGGTTAGGATAAGTAATTTCAGATATTTGTATTGCTTTCCTTGCATTTGTAAGGCAGAAGGCAACTCTTCTGTCAAGACAATGTGTGGAGAAGCTCTCAAAGATATCATTCCATTCTTAGTTTTGTACAGAATCCACACTATATTATCTGAAGTCTTACTTGCAATACTGTTTCTAGGCTGAATTGAAAAATAGCCAGCAGTCTGCTGCCAGTAAATGTGTGATGTTTGGCTAATGCCGGATACTTTTAACTGCTTCATCTTACAAGAAGGTCTTGTGGCACGTGGGTAAAAACTTAAAACCAGAACAGTCTTCTAGTGCTTCTTCCCCTTGCAGTTAGGAAATTTGTTCTAATGTGATGGTACACAAGAAATAATAAAGTTGCCAGGCAATTTTAATAGTGGAGAAAGGAAATACAATAGATCTTATAGATGACTTCGTTAGTTTTGAGTTATAAATTCCAATTTTCATCTAGCCTGACAACTCAAATGAAGCAGTAATTGGCTGATAAATGACTTAAAAAAATTACATTGAATATAGGAATACTAAGCTGTAAAACTGCCTAACTTTCATATTAAAGGTACTTAATTTGGTACCCTTAACCAAAATGAAAAGGAAGTTCGTATGCTTAAATGATTTCTAGCTAGTTTCTAAGAAGTAGCCTCTTACAAGTTCAACTTAATTATTGTTAAATTAACCTACTGATTAGTTTTGAAATACTCCTGGCTTGCCTCAGCTCATGTTGCTGTTCTACAAATAACAATGCATTTGCATAAGAGTTGCTTCTCTAGTGTCTTCTGCTAACAAAAAATGTTTCTCTAAATTTTGAGTACTGATGATATGATCAGATGGGTTCCTCTTAAACTTTAATTTTCATTGAATTTAAGAAAACAAAAGGACCATAATAAAACAATGCTCTAATTGTAGTTTTGTCCAAAAGCAAATTATTCCTCCTGTATGGGTTATGGTTTAACACTCTAGGCAACGAGTCTGTGTGGCCTGGCTAGAACTTGTGATTAGTGTTTGCTTTTTGCTATGTTCCTCAGCAATGTGAACCTGCTTGTCCAGAGCTGTTATTGTGGCCCTTTTTAGGTAATGGCTTCTCTGATTCAGGATATCAGTGCCTTATTCTGAGGTTAAAGAAAGCATCTCCACCACCACCCTGCATGTTCAGGGTCCACAGCTTAGATGCTTCCGTGCTGAAATTCAGACCAATTGCATTATTTTACATAGCAGCTGTCTTTTTGTCTGAAGAATAATCTGATTATTAGTTTTGATACCCACTGTTCTTGCCTTTCTGCCAAGAGCAGGAATTTCTTCTTGGTTACCTTACTTCTTACATCAATACAGAGGAAAAGCAACAGCAAAGTCTTGTGTTGGAAATTAAATTTGTAAATTGACGGTCTTTTTCTAATTTCATCAATTATCAGGTGAATGAAGAATGATTTTTGTGGATTGCTTGCAGTAAAATGAGAGTAAAGAACTATCTCTTCTGCACTCAGAAGGGACAGCCTGGCCTTTAGCACTGGTATCTAGCTTCACTATCTGAGAGCCTAGTTTTTAGTTCTGTTTTCAGGGTCTGTACTTGCCTTGATATTCTCACTAATGTGTAATAACATGCTTTCTGCTTTTATGTGTTTTGTTTCTTGTATAAAAAGTACCTACAGATGAATGCATTTTTCCCTTTGGAATTCCTTTCAAATGTTTTATCCCGACTTCCAATGGATAGTTATACTTTAAACAAAGCTGAGGCTTTGTTAGCTTTTCAGGTGATTGGATGCAGCCAAGTGAGCAAGTACTGTGTTCAGTGCTGCTTAGGAATTAAAGGCTGGATTGCACTACTTTTGCAAGATACAATACAGGTGAAGAACCTCACATGTCTCATGGCCTTCAGTATATTGTGATATTTTCCCTCAACCAATATCTAATATGAAGAAATTGCCTTGGAAGCATGGCTAAGGATAGGAAAGAGGTGAACTACAAAAATCCACTTGAGTGTGCAAGGAAGAACCACGTAGATATCCCTTTAATCTGACTTGCCTTTAAAGGTAGGAAGCAGAGTGGCTGCTGGGGTCTTGAAAGGATTGTCGATAGTAGTTGTATAGAATCACTGCATGCAAAAACTAATGTGGGTGGCAAACTCTCGCTGAGCGTTGGAAGCAATGCTCTTCTGGCTTGCTTATGATCTGGTGTTGGGGCTAAAGAGAATGTTCTTAGCACCTTAATTTTGCAGCTGCTACTGGAACTAGTCATGACTAAGTCAGGAGTAGCAGAACCAAATAGCCTCTTAGAATAACTGTCTAGAATGTGTTTTAGACTAGTTCCAGTTCCTCTGTTACAGGAGAGTTTGTTACCTCAGTTTCTTTCACAAGTTTAAGTTATGGAAGAGGTTGCAAGCTTGCGTTGTTCAGAATAACTGCTGCTGGATTCTCCTTATTTCCTACATTTTACGTAGCTTATCTGCCTTAGATAAAAAATGTGATTTGGTGTGATGCTCTTGTTCAACACACAGAATAAATAGCTTATATCATGTTAGAAAGCTCCAAGTACAGATGAATAATTATATATATATTTTAAGCAAGTTGTGGTCAGGTACTCTTAGCAGTGGTTCAGAGCAAATGCTGAAATGTCCCTGGGAGAGAACCAATGGTTTAGTACGAGCAATGCTTATAGACATTGAGTAGAAGAGCTGCAAGCTTCAAAAAGACTGTGTCAGAGGAGGGAGCCAAAGCTTAGAGGGACTTAAACTAGAAAAGAAAAGTAATTAGCAAGGTTATCGATATTTTGGGGATATAGAACACTGAAATAGTGCAAAAATGCAGAAATGCAGCAAGACATGTGGGCATTTAAGGTTTGTCCCTACACTTCCAATCTGATAACTGTAAAATTCTGGGAGGAAATAGGGGTAAGGCAGTAGAAATGACATGTAATCTAGTTCCCAGTTTAGCCCCAGAAGTTGGGGGTGTGGGATCTAAACACTTGTGGTATTTAATGAACTATTTCAATTACATTCAAAAACTTTTCTTACAAAACAGCTGAAAAACCTGACTAAATGCTTCTTTGTTACCTGCAGTTGGCAAGCATGAGTTAACTGGGCACAAAGTGGCAGTGAAGATCCTGAATCGACAGAAGATTCGCAGCCTTGATGTTGTAGGAAAAATCCGCAGGGAGATTCAGAACCTCAAGCTCTTCAGGCATCCTCATATAATTAAACTGTAAGTTTGCTTGCTATAATCAAATCTGCTTAAGCTGTAATTTCTTTTGCTCTTGCTGATTTGAAAAATCATTTAGGGGCAAATAATATTAGCAGCATCTTGTTAGGAAAGTAGCCAACTTCTGAGTGTGTAGCTTTTCTTGGTGTCCTTCGTGATGTATTTTCACAAAATTGATCTGTGCAAGGGAGAGAAGTTCTGATTCTTTAGAGGGTAGAGGCACAAGAGATTTCTAATAATATCCATCTCTTTGTATTGTTGTTTCTAACTTGCTAAAATATGATAGGACCAAGCTCAAAGAGTTAAATTTGTCTGTCAGTAAATGAGCAAAGATCATGGTCATATGAGAAAGTTGAAAGGAGTCATGCAAAAGAAATCTCTGTTTTGGGACAACAAGCTGACTAACTCAATTGCTTGTGCAAGCAGACCTGTATATCACTAGGCATTGTCTTCATCAAGTCAGAGCATTTATTCTAGAGATCCTGCGGTGGAGTAGAGATACTTGAGAACAATTGTGCACTGTGATTGGTCACAGATAAACCATGACAAACCAGGCGCCCACACTTGAACCAGAAAAGCTCACCGTTGTCTTGAAGCACACAAGACCTTACTGCCTGCAATTCTGTCGCATGCGTATGAAGTCAATGAAGATATTTGCATCCTTAAATATAATACCTTATAATGCCTTTTAAGTAAGGAATTATAGAAAACATAAAAATCACAGTATTTGGAAGTTTGACCATAAGCTATTTCAGAACTTAGGGTATCTTGTAAAAGCAAACTGCTCTGCACTTTAGTCTTGAAGTACACTATTTCCTTTCATGTAAAGACAGACAGTTTTACTGCCTCATCAAAAGGAATGATGTGTAGCTCTTACATAATGGCAAAGTCTCCTTAAAATTCCTTCCATATTGCTGTGATAAGCTGTGTGCGAGGTAACTATAAATAGCTTTATAGAGCTCATCCTGAGCAAGAATAATGGAATGGCAAGTGTAAGTGTAAATTACCTGCTGATTGTTGCAATGAAATTGCATAGTGAAAGGAGTAAAATAGCTTCTGAAAAACATTGGCATGGAAGGAACTATGAATTGGTGACTGATAAGTAGTTAAAAGTAGAATTTTACTGGAATTTTCCAATATCATATTGGTTTGAGCTAATTTTAAATAGTTCCTTATTAAGTGTATGGTCTAACTGATAACTTCTTTTATCAGGTACCAGGTCATCAGTACACCAACTGACATTTTTATGGTGATGGAGTATGTATCAGGAGGAGAACTGTTTGATTATATCTGTAAAAATGGAAGAGTAAGTAGTAGTCTAATGCTGCAAGTCAATGGCTTGCATTCTGTAATTGGTTTTGTAATATTTTTAAGTGAAGGCGTGTCTTTATAATGCTATTAGGAGTTAAAGATAGTTTCTGACTCTTTTGTTCTGAAGCTAAGAACAGTTGCATGTTCACAAATGTTGGAGATCCATTGTGTATTCTGGTGAACATGGATATGGATTAGGACATGTTCACATGAAGGGCTTTGGCAACTCTGTTGTTTGGGAACAGTTGCAACAGGGGCCTTAAAATGACTAAATCAATAGTTTACTCTAAACTTGAATTTGAGCCATGCTTTGGAATGAGAAATATGTTATCTTTCAATGTCTCAAAGTAAAGCTGTTTAAAACTGTTTGTGTCTCTTAGCTTGATGAGAAAGAGAGTAGACGTCTGTTCCAGCAAATCCTTTCTGGTGTGGACTACTGTCACAGGCATATGGTGGTACATAGAGATCTGAAACCTGAAAATGTGCTGCTTGATGCACACATGAATGCCAAGATAGCTGACTTTGGTAAGCATTGTATTCTATAGCTGATAATTGTTTTGCTGCTATTCAGATGTAGTTTATTATAATAGGACTTTTGAAATACAGTTAGAATATTTGAATGTCTTGGTGGTTGGATGTAATATGTGAACCTGAAGAGTGAATGTAAAACAAATTGTGTTTTTTGCACAAGCTGTCTTTTCAAGTCAGGCATTTCCTATGAGTGTTTAACTTTAAAATTTTAAACTACCTGATTGGTCTTAACTGCTTAACTATTTTCCTCCAAAAGGCTGGATGGACTTAGTAGTTCACTGCTCTGCTGCTTGATTCAAAATTGACTCTTATTGCCTGTTTTTCCATTTGTAAAGTGCAAACGCTTAGCTGGTCAGGTTTAAGAACCACATTGCTGTAGTAAAATATGTTACTTGTTATATTA